ATCGACGATATTGTTTATGCTTAAATGCAGAGCTTGTCGAGTTCTATCGAGCAAAACATAATGGCACAGTGGTCTCTTGCTCCGAACATTCTACTTATAGTTTTAAAGTCATAGAAGGATTCTTCATCGCAAAGGAGTTTTTCAAAGAAAAACAATTCGTTTCGTACATCAAATGATAGCATCACTCTACTTTGAATCTTTACTTATACTTCATTTTTTAAAACTTCGATGCATCAAATTCTGTACCACAATCTACTTCAGATTCAAAGCTATCTACTTTATTTACATGAATGTTTGATTGTGATCAACGACGACGTCAAACACTACTCAACAGTTAGACAAGCTTTAGGTTGACACTTCTTAATCTACCTTGAGGATGAGTGTAGGTGTGAGCATCATATTCATCGTTCACAGTCACCTACACTGACAACTGCACCCAGACTCAAATTCACACTCACATCCATGTTTAAGTCATCATCTACATCCACCCGCCTGCCTCATTGTTTAAATTGAAAGTTAGAAAGAGTTTTTTCATTTTATAAAGTCTAAAAGTTTCTGTACATGATTAAATCATCTATAAAGTTCCAACGATACACATTCTTTCCAGAATGAATAAATAGATTCAAATGTTTCTCTCTAGGACGGAGGAATACTGGTAACATGAAAAATGCACGATCCGATCACTTAGCAACTGTATTAAGAGATAGGAAAGTGTTAGTTATTGGTGGAGATCGTAATAATACTCTAAATGATAGTGAATTATATGATCCATGAACAGGAACTTGGACATCTACTAGTGATATGAATTACGTACGATGTTTCCATACGGCATCTGTATTAACAAATGGAAAAGTGTTAGTTACCGGTGGATCTGATACTTATTATCTAAATAGGGCTGAATTGTATGAGCCATCAACAGAAATTTGGACAACTGTTAATGACATGAATACTGCACGACAGTATCACATAGTATCGGTATTAAAAAATGGAAATGTTTTAATTACTGCTGGATTTAATGGCAATGCTCTAAAAAATGCTGAATTATATAGTATATTAACAGGAAACTGGATAACTATCGATAACATAAAGGGTGTGGGTGTGTGTGGGTGTGGGTGAGGGTGAGGGTGAGGGTGTGGGTGAGGGTGTGGGTGTGGGCGTAGGTGTAGCTGCGGCTGTGGGTGAATTGAAGATCTGTATTCACACCCACAGCCACACCTTCCATAACATGTCTTTGCCACAGCTGGATATTAGAACTGAAAAAAACAAAAGATCTAAAACCGTATAAAATAACGTTTGTCACCTCTGTGTGAGAACGTGATTCCAATTACTATTCTATACTTCGGCACTCATTTGAGATCGTGTTTCACAAAAGTTGTGACTTCTAGGCTTTCAAGAAACTTCAAGACTGAAGGTAATAGCATTCTTCTGAAAAATACAATATCTCAACATTAATATGGTATTAGTCTAAACTCTTTTCAGGTTACTCATAATTGATTAGAACCTACATTATGCACATGATTCTAAATCAAAAGCATTTTGACACTTCCATCTATTTAAGTTGAATAAATCATATTTCATATTAATTATATTCTATAGAATGGGTCAAAAGTAAGGAAATAGAGAATCTCTTATTTATGACGCATGTACTACGTAGTAGTAGTCAGAAGCATATCTTATTATCCGTCTCTGGATTCAATAGTTTGTTTGAAAAACACAGCTATGTATCTCATATATTCCTATATGATTAGAACACGAATGATTGCTTCATTGTCGACCTTGAGAACCACCTTTCGTCTGACTGTAGTGATTCACATAATCAACCATATTTGTATTATTTTTTGCACTATTTTACCTTAAACGAATTCAAAAAAGAATAATACAATTCGATTTTTTCTACAAATTGGTTCAATCAGACAAAAAAAAGCAAAAAGTGAAATTTGACAAGAAGCGAACAATTTTGCTACGGTCACAAACGAGTATACAAAATACATCGATGTACTTTTGAAACAAATTATTAGGCCTACAGGCGGAATAAGAATAAGACATGACATTTGAATGAACATCTTTTCACCCTTATTGAATCCTTACCTTATAATCAGTAACATGCAGTATGAAAAAAACGTATTTGAACATCTTTGAAACCAATTTTGTGTAGCGAGTTTCACAACAAAGAAACAACATTTTCTAAACTTTCATTATATCATTCAATAGCTCATATTTTCTACTTTATTCTATGTGGAAAAGAAATTTTTTATTAGTTCTTACAGGTTTTTCAATCAACCGCTTGATTTCCTAGGCAAAAAAAATATTATTTGGACACTTATATTTCTCCTTTTATATCGCTGTTATTCGACATCAAAATATTTTGAGTAATATCTCATTCTGTAGAAAAAAAGAGTTCTCTACACGTTAGTATACTTTAGAAACGAAAATAGAACTGAATCAAATCGTGTCCTTCATTTTCAAAATTAATTAAATAGAAGAGCTACTAATTGCTAATTACAATTAGACGCATCTATGTGCCCATTATTTATCTTCATTTTTCAACTGGAAAACAAGGTGGAATTTTTTTTTGAAAGATACAGTATTGTAGAGAATTAAATTTTCTACAAAATGGTGTGTTTGAATATACTGTAGGTACTTTTCTTACAGATGATAAGACCTTACGTTTTCGAGGGCACTATCAATGCAGAAAGAAACAAATTTTTTGTTCTATCGATGTACATACGACCTATATATAAAGCAACAGAACGAAAAAAAATATTTTTCTAACCTCTATGTTGATTCTGTTTTAGAAAAGATGGGGTCTGATCATCGTTAAGAAAAGTACCTACAGAATATTCAAATACACCAATTTGTAGAAAATTCAATTCTCTACAATACTGTATCTTTCAAAAAAAAGTTCCACCTTGTTTTCCAGTTGAAAAATGAAGATAAATAATGGACGCATAGATGCGTCTAATTGTAATTAGCAATTAGTAGCTATTTTATTTAATTAATTTTGAAAATGAAGGACACGATTCGATTCAGTTCTGTTTTCGTTTCTAAAGTATACCAACGTGTAGAGAACTCTTTTTTTTCTACAGAATGAGATATTCCTCAAAATATTTTGATGTCGAATAACAGCGCTATAAAAGGAGAAATATAAGTGTCCAAATAATATTTTTTGCCTAGAAAATCAAGTGGTTGATTGAAAAACCTTTGACAACTAATAAAAAGTTTCTTTTCCACATAGAATAAAGTAGAAAATATGAGCTATTGAATGGTATAATCAAAGTTTAGAAAATGTTGTTTCTTCATTGTGAAACTCACTACACAAAATTGGTTTCAAAGATGTTCAAATACTTTTTTTCCACAACACTGTATATCGATAAGCTGGCATCGCAGTCGTCCTATATTTCCTATATTTCCTATATTTTTCAAGTTAGTCCTATAATAGACTATATTTTGAGCTTTTTTCCTATATTCCTATATTTTTCAAAAAATTAAAGATTATTATGGAAAGAACCATATTTCCTTCAAATAAGTGCCTAGCATGTTGTTTAAATATTATCAGCGGCGTTCATAACATAATATAAAGCACTAAGGGCAATATTTTCTTTAAATTTTTTCCATCTTAATATCACTTTTAAAAAAATAAAATTCAACACAAATGTATAGATTTACATGTGTTTCGGTAGTAGTTATTGCAATAAACAGTGAAAGAGCACATGCTAATCTATATATTTGTGATGAATTTTATTTCAAAAAAGTGATATTAAGACAAAAGAAAATTTAAAGAAAGTTGCAGCTAGAAAGTGATTCTATTATGTTTGACAGTACTAGAAACGGTGGTGTTTATTTTCAAGTAGCATCAGAAACGAAGAAAACTTTTACCAATGCATCGACTATCTGTTACTAAACCGATTATTTTGCTGTGCTTTAAATATGTATACACTTTGATTATATAGCTCTGAGACTGTTAGAAACTATAATAGTCTTGACAAAAGATATCGATTGTTTTCTTTACATTAAAAGAAAGCATTTTTGTGATCTTTATCTCAGTCAATTTTATAATATTTTTATGATATGTAGGCAAGGAAGGAAAAACTGACTTTTTGATTTAAATCAAAAATGAAAATCAAAAACATCACACAAATCAATGAAAATGGTAAAATTTTTAATCTTTGTGCTTGAAAATATCAATCGAGAGTGAAACAGTTGAAATCTGACTGTTTTTTCGCTTCTTTGGATTTCTCCGATTTTTTTAATTTTTTTAAAATTTTTCTGCTTTTTTTTGATTTTTCTTATTTTCTTCGTTTAAAATCAGTTGGTTTTAATGTAGAAAAATCAAGAGGAAAATCAACAAAATAAATTTGATTTCACCTGTTTCCTCCTTGCATGTAGCTGTGATATAGTTGAAGGTTAACCGAACATAAATTATTTCTTTTTGTCTTTGTATAAAATATTTCCATACTACTGTTTTTCATAACAAAGCTGTATTTTTATTTAGGTGAGTCGAGGTACGTTATAAGAACATCACCTACCATTCTGCAGTAGTGATTTTTACATGTCTAGTCGTTTTTAAACGAAATATTAGCGTCCTATATATTTCCTATATATCCGAGGACGATCCTATATATTTGAGATCTAACAATTCCTATATATTCCTATATATTTTTGAAGGGCTGCTGCGAACCCAGTCGATAAGAATATTATAAATAATATTATATATTTATTTATTTATATTCTCAATATTAAATACGTATCTATGTCATGCATTTGTTTTAAATGATTAATAAAAACGCAATATATTTATACAAATGAATTAGTTGACTAAAGCTAGTTAAATACATTATCAAATATTTTACATCGAATGCAACCTCGTTGATTAAAACAACAAATAAACAGCATAAAAAACATAACAGAATGTATTCATGTAACAAAAAAAACAAAGAAATTATATTACGATGACATATAGCTTTTGAAAAAAATCAGCATTGAACTGAGAAATGTATAGTTCAATCTAATGAATAGAAATAAGGTGTTTTCATACGAAGATAACGACGTACACATAAATACATTCTAAAAATAAATTTAAAACGTCTCTTTTTTTTCTTTCGTTATTAAATATTTGAAAATCTATAACATACATTCCCATGCCAAGTATAAAACTTGCACAATTACTTAAAATAAGATAACGCATATGTTTTTTTTCAATTAATTTTTTTTCTTCATCTTCATCATATAAATTTTGATTTATTGGATGAAGAAATCTCCATTCCCTTAAAAAGAAAGAAATTAAAGAAAAATAAAGTAATCATTTACTTAGGTGGTTCAGCTTCAATACGTGATGACCAAGAAGATATCAAAGTTGTTGTTTGTATTGGACTTTTAGGTGTTTTTGGTGATGAACTGAAATTTTATTTAATTTGTTCTGTTTTTCATTAGAAAATTCTAAGATAATAATAATTAATTACCTATCACTTTGTGAACTTTTTGATGTCGCATGAGATGATTCGATTTGTGCTTCTAATAATAAATTTTCATTAATATGCATATTAGAATCAAAATCTTGATCAACAAAAGAATTTGTTGATGGTTCAACTTCTTTCCCTGGATCTAAGATAATAATAAAAAATATCAGAAAAAAGAAAAATTTAATCTTCTTTTTTTTTTTTATTTTACTAGTAGTTTGCTGTTGTATTGATTTATTCATATTCGTTTATATGTATATATAAATCTTTAAGAAGAAAAAAAAGAACAAATAAATTCGTATTGAAGTAGTTGTAAGCATTCAATAATAACTTATCACGTGTAAAAGTCATCGACTCATCAGTAAGTGCAAAACGATTATATTGACATGTATGGACGTTGAATGTAACATAATTTGGATATGTGTATTCATGTGTTGAATACATGCATTAAAAGCAATTAGAAATATGAATAGAGGACGTTGCTTAACATCCATCATTGAAAATGGTTTGATCGGTTTCTATTGACAAGAAGAAAGAACAAACTTTTTTTGTTATAATCGAATTTTTCGAAAAGTTTTTAAAAAACAAATAGAAAAATTTCAATCTATTATTAAAGATTAATATTATTATAAAGTTATGGACAGATGTCGAAATATGTTTCTGATTCGCTCATGCTTTTTTACTGACATTATACTATTTTATCTATTGAACAGTCATATGAGACATAATATTATCTTATTTTAATTGGAATAAATCTTCAGGTATGTTATACCTATATATAATTTTGTTTTTATTATAAAATGAAATTTTGCAGAACGTATTATGTAAATAATAGAGAAAAAATTTTGAATCTAGAGCAGTATTGAATGTAATTTTTGTAAGACTTATTGATCAAATTATAATATTTTTAATTTGTTTGCAAAAGACTCAATACATTCCAGAATTTATGTCATTATCTTCTCTGCTTTAATCTAAACTGTTAGAGCATAGTATTTCATAACTCTTTAGTTTTATTCAAAATCAGCGATAGGCATACGTATGATTCGATATGTTCTAATTATATAATCATCAGACTTTTTGTTATAACTCAAATAATAACACTAAAAAATTCTCATTCTTTAAATGTTATGAAATACTTTGTTCATTAACTTAAAAGAATAATAAAAACTAGTAAAATAAATACATCATTAATTCTGAAACTAGGACTTCTTTTAAGATTCTTCTCTTCATTTATTAACAGATTCTATATTAAAATAAGAGAATCAATGTCTTCTTCTTCTTCTATTAATAATATGATGAAAGAAAAACAAAACTTAAAATAAGATTCATGTCAATACTGAAAGACATTAAAATGAAGAGTATGACGTCAACATTATTTGTTCGTTGTCAAATTTCTTTTAGAAAAACGAACAATTGCTGAAATAGCCAAGTGGTTACGGCGTCTGTCTAGAAAAGTTTTAAATAAAACACTAGTCAACAGATGAGATCTTCTCGCGTAGGTTCGAATCCTACTTTCAGCGTATTTTATTTTTTAGTAATTTAATTATATTTAAAGGTGTCAGTGAAAAATAAATGTTGAAAGGTTAAAGTACATTGATGTAGTATCAATTTTCAAATTTCTATTGAATATAATATCAATCATATTTGTCAAGGTGTGAAGGTTTAAGGGATGAAAAGAAAAATCGATGCAGTATATATTGATGTGATAGTCCTAAGAAAAAATTTAGTTATTCTTTAAGAAAATATCATTATATAATGCGTAATCAAATCATTGCTGTTCTTATGGTTTTTATCTTTTGTGTTATTGTTTTGGTTTCGGCCAAGCCAACTGGATCTGTTGAAAAGCAACATCGTACTATATCATTTTCAAATTGGCCTCAAATATCAAATCCATTTTGTATTCCAGTACTTTGCACTTTTCCTTGTCGATGCGGTAGTCAACTTGATATGGAAGGATGTGAAACATGTTATTGTCTTCCATGTGATTTGGAATGGTAATTTGTTTTTGATTGAATTGAATTGAAAATAAAATAATTCATTAGATATTTTCTGATTGAATTAATTATTATTTTCTACAATATTAAATATGTGAATAACCAGATTAGATGTTTAGTTATATTCATTGAATAGAAATATTAATTAATACGAAATCTATTGACTTTTTATTTGATAGTTGCATTGATTTTAAACGATATATTATTTTTCAACATGGTATTATGATTAAAAATAAAAGTTTAACTGAAACAGTCTCTTTTATTTTCTTATTTATATACTTTTTTTTTCTCTCATGACTTATTATTAATAACTTTTCAATTCATCAAATATTCATTTGCTTTTGATGTAGAGAAAAATAGTGAATTGTCGGAAATACTTGTTATTTTATAAAAATGTTTAATTCTACACTAATCATGAGATAACAACAATCAATATATTGTTAATTATATGAATAAAAATAAGAACATTTATGAATAGATTAACGGTAGAATATTTATAATATTCATAATTCTATTTCTTTTCAAGACTAACATATATTTAAAATTTATGCATAAAATGATCAGTTTTACTAACGATTGATTATAGTAAAATAAACTGTTCCACGATTACTTATTATCTAGAGTTGGTGATAAATAACTCTACGATAAAAAAAAAACGAAATATGTCCGTGTCAGTGCAATCAAATAGGTTGAAATTTTAGTTACTGATACAAATGTATTTAAAGTTTTTTTTTCTTCATGTGGATGAGGTTAGCAAATATTACCATTAAGTGGTATCGTAAAAGCAAATCGACCTGTTATCAAGTAATAAAAACACATTTGTAGCATTTCATAGATTATTTTCGGTTTTCATTAAAGAGAAGAAATCAATACGAACTTTATCACTAATATTATATTTATGTATATCAAGCAAATTTTCAGACCTCTGATTCTGTTCAAAAAAGCAAGAGCTGTGAGTATTTTTGGAATGAGAACTGTAGTTTTTACCATTACAAAGAGAAGATCCAAGCGTATAAATACGGATTGAAGTTTGATTAGTCAACATTGGATCAATCACATTAAGACCTATAAAGATCTTCTTGAGACACTCAATTGATTTGGCATCATCTGGAAAAACAAGTCGACAGGAATAGTTTATCATGCTGAGTCGAATGACAGTATTTCACAAATTTCGACTTCTTCACTACATGGAGGTTGATTGTGAAGTTTCAGAAATATTAGGATAATCGTACCAGATCATTTCAAGTCCGAGAATAAATGTCATTATTCGACACAACGTAGTAAATAATTCTTGTCTAGATTCTTTTCCAGATACTCACAAGTAAATCAGGGATTTAACGACAACATTTATAACTTTTAAATGAAGCAAGCTAGAAATGCTGACCTTGTGTAATTTAGTGCTATTCATAACACATCTTCTATTTATTTTATTTTTCTCTCTTTATATATGATGAAGATTTAATAAAATCTTTTTTGAATTTAGGACAATTGAAAAATAAAATTATTCAATGAATGAATATATTATGTTCAGGTTACACTATTGATCATTTTTCAATTTTATTTAATAACTTATACAGATTTCAATCGAAGGTGAAGAATTTTTTTTTTTAAAACTTTTGTAAAGATCGATTTTTTGTTTAGCATTGATTTATATTGATGAACATTTTTGCGTAAACAAGAATACACTTATTTTACTTATTTATTTTATTTGTACTTCTTTTTCAGATTGATTTCCATATGAAAGTTGATCACATTTTTAAATATATAAATAAGTGAAATTTTCATAGTTGAATTTGCTGTGATGTATACAAAACTTCCATTCTTTTTCACTTGAAAATTAAAAAATGTTCCTATTATTAGAAATAAGTTCCAGAAGAACGATTTCAAAATTCTGGGAGACTGAACACTTATTTTTGGAAACACGAACATATTAGGTCAGGATATAACAACCACAACTTTCAGAGAGGCACTACCTTCTTGCCTTTCATGTTAAATAAAACACTGCATACAGTTTCTTATTTTATTTGCTTTACATGTTCGTCCAAGATTTGATTGATTTCGAAAAGCATACAAAAGCAATTTCACCTACACCCTAATCAATCTGAATGTTTGCTAGCATCGCTGTTGTCCACATATACTTGAAAGCGTGTTTTTTTGTTGTGTAATCTTATTGTGAATGTGCAGTACAATGAAGCTCATATCCCTTTCCATTTCCTGTATTTCTTATTTGATTACTTTTTTTTTGTTTGGTGTTTTTTTTTATGTTTTCATGCATGTAAAAAAAAAAACCTCTTATTCTCACTCGGATGAATACATACTAGTTTAGATGATTTGATACATTCTTTTATGTTATACTTTTCTATTGTTTCAGATTATTTTTCAGTCATGTCTAAACTACAAACACATGAAACTACAGTTGAGGCAATGGATTATCTTGCCAAACGAAATATTCCTCAATTATTCGAAGTAAATTCAAATAATAGAAAAACTCTATATTAATATATTTATAGGCTTTAATGGGTGCACTGATCGTTCATAAACCTGATGATCATATTGACTTTCTTATGAAATCTCTTGAAAAAGTAAGTTCATCATAAATAGTACTACATCAAAAACATTTGAATCTATTCTTGTTGTATAGTATAAAAATAGTAAACAATCATTAGCATGGAATTCATTCATCGAACGAGAAAATAATTTAAACAATACATCGGCTCCAAGTAACAAAAAACATATAAATATATGAGTTCATCATCATCTTCTACTTTTCATATAGAAACTAAACAACAATTAAAACGTGATTCTATTCCTCAAAATAAACGAGAAGAAAAACCAAAAAATCAAGATCGACCATCTTCTTCTAAATCTAATAAAGATATTAAAAATATACTTAAAGGAAAGCCTATTATTTTTGTTGGTGGTGGACCAGGTATAAAAAAGAACTTATCTCATAACAATAAAACATATTTTTACTTTTCAATAGGTAGTGGTAAAAGAACACAATGTGAACAAATGGTTACAAAATATGGTTTTACACATTTATCAGCTGGTGATTTAATTCGAGCAGCTGCAAAAGATTCATCAACAGAAAAAGGTCGTTATTTTAATGAAGCTATGTCACAAGGAAAACTTATTTCTACAGTAAATGAATCTTAAATATTTACCACAAAAATGAACAAGAGCGCATAAGAGTCTGCTTTAACTCATTTCATTTTTAGTCAGAAAGAAATATAAAATATGAGTGCATGTACGGAATCGCAAAACGCTACAGCTGAATAGGTGAAAGTGGTAGGGTCCTGCGGGAACGACTTTTTCCCGTGTTTTCCCGTCCCGTTTCCCGCGGGAATCGGGAACGGGAATTCCCGTGAGACCTTAGGAACGGAAATGCGGGAACGGGAATTCTGGTGGACACTCCGGGAACGGGAACACGGGAACGGGAATTGTATTAAAAATTTCTGTTCCCGGCAAACCCTATGTCCGATTTCTGTTTGCATTAAAATCTGTTAATCTTACAGTATTCGATTTCCAATAACTATTTGAAATATAATTGAAAAGAGAACAAATATCAGTCAACAAAATCAGACAAGTTCATTCCAACATAGATTATGAGAATCACGATATTCTTTACCATCATCGTCGTCGGCATCGAAGTTGGGATCATCAAGATTACATATATGTCAAACTTGAAACTTGAATTCAATTGAAATTTCAAGTTTCAACTGAAATTTCAAGTTTCAACTGGAATTTCAAGTTTCAAGTTTCAACTGGAATTTCAAGTTTCAATAGGTTTATGAGCCTTGAATCAGAAATTTACTTTTAATATACGGAATCTTGTATTGTGAGAAACATGATGTCGCTAAAAGCTAGTATCAAGTAGGAGTAGTGTTGATGAATGTGAATAATGAAATCATTGTAGCTATTCTCAAAGCATTACGGGAACGGGAATACGGAACGGGAAGGAAAATTTTGTTACGGGAACGGGAACACGGGATCGGGAACGAAAGTTTTTGTTACGGGAACGGGAACGCGGGAACGGGAACAAAAATTTTCAATACGGGAACGGGAACACGGGAACGGGAACCAAAAAAAGTTGTTCCCGCAGGTCTCTAGAAAGTGGGCATTTTTCAATCGATATTTGTTGTTCTAGAATGATGATAGAACGTACAAAAACAGATGACTATATAAATAATAAATTGTGTTAAAAGTTACTTCAATTTTTGATTAAATTCGGAGGATGACTATAAGTGAAGTTTTGACGAAAGTAAAATTTTTCCGAACAATTTGAAACCTATATTGATCGACTTGGTTTTTGATACTGACTCTAAATATGTTATTTGTTTGGACTAGAAAGATAACGAACAAAACAAAAATTGACTAGTTTTCCCTATTCAAATGAAACATTTATGTTTATCTGTGAGAATAAATGAAGTGGATTAAGACAAATGCTTATGCGATTCCATTCTTTCTTATATTTAATATTTTTCTATCTAGGAGGATATTCTTGGATTAATTAAAGATGCTATTTATGAAACCGCTGATAAAGCATCGGGTTTTTTAATTGATGGATTTCCTCGTCGAATTGAACAAGGTAAAATAACAAAGTCCAAACAAGTAATTTCTTTTTTTTTCTTCATAATAATTCAATAATAGGTATTCAATTTGAACAAGATGTAGCTCCATGTGATGTTCTTATTTATTTTGATGTACCTGATGAAATAATGACTAAACGATTAGTAAAACGTGGTGAAACTAGTGATCGTATTGATGATAATGAAGAAACGATTAAAAAACGTTTAGTAACATTTCACCAAGAAACACAACCTATTTTAGGTTATTATGGTAAACAAGGAAAATTAATTACAATCATTGCTAATCGAAAACCAGATGAAATATTTGAAGATGTATCGTATGAATTGAAAAAACTAGTAAAAACGCAACCAGTAGGTAAACAACTAGAGTTTTGTTTTTTTTTTTCTTATAAATTTCTGTATGTATGTGTTGAGTAATCTCCTCCCTTAATGAAAAAGATCTTCATCTCGAAAGTTCAATAAAAAATAATTTAATCTTATCCATATTAAAATATTACCATTCTACTTTCGATTTTTTAGTTCCTCCAAGAGATCCACAATTAGATAAATTAAAAAATAAGAAAATTATTTTTGTTGTCGGTGGACCAGGTAGGTTTTTATTTCATTTTATAACACATTGAAGAATTAATTTTATCATAGGATCCGGAAAAGGTACACAATGTGAAAGAATCGTACAAAGATATGGTTATACACATTTGAGTACTGGGTATGAATAAATAGACTGTTACAAAAGTTTGCTGTGAAAAAAAAACCCCATGAATATGTTTTAGTCAATTGAAATGATTTATATTATAATTCTATATTCCTTGAAGTTTTCTGTGTTCACAGATATTAGTTCGTCGAATTCCGGCTGGATAGAACCGTATTTTGATATTCTCAATGAAATATTCTAATCTGAATTGGACAATCACTCTAAAGATACGAAATACTTGTTTCCGACTTTTTGTATTCGGTGATTAGCGTACCCCATACAAATCACACATAACTAGTGCCGATCAAATTCAAAATTTTTGCATTCGAGATAAACCCACTTTTATTATCATAAATATCAACTTATGTTTTTTTTTCATGGCAAACTTTTTGAACATCCTGTAGACAAGAAAAACTAGTATTTTGTTTTTAAATGAATCTTTATATAGAGATCTTCTTCGTGCAGCTGTTGAATCAAAAACTGAACGTGGTGAACAACTTAATGCTTTGATGAAAGAAGGAAAATTAGTACCAATGGTATGTTAATCATTCTTTTCATATAATTATTTTAAAAAAAAGAGATTCTTTGCTTTATTTTAGGAAGTTGTACTTGATTTACTCAAAGAAAATATGATTAAAAATGCAGATAAATCAAAAGGATTTCTTATTGATGGTTATCCACGTGAAATTGCACAAGCAAAAAAATTTGAACAATTAGTTCGTTGAAATATTTTTTCTTAAATATTTAAAGCAAAACAAAACAAAAAACAAGAATTATATTTATTTTGATAGATTGCTTCCTGTAATCTTGTTCTCTATATAAATGCAAGCGATGCAACAATGACAAAACGTTTATTACATCGTGCACAAACATCAGGTCGAATTGATGATAATGAAGAAACAATTAAAAAACGTATAAAAACATTTCATAAGGAAACAATACCTGTTTTAGATTATTATGAAAAACAAAATAAATTAGAAGAAGTAATTTTTAATAGATTTTATTTTGTTGAAAAAATTTTGTACATTTTTTTTATTTGATTTAGATTGATTCAGAATTAGAACCAGATAATGTTTTTAATCAAGTTCGAGAAATATTAGATAAACTTACTTAAAATCAAATTAAGAGTTTTTGTGTTATTGACAATGAAAAAAACTACTATATTGCATGTATGGATCTCAAAAATTTTGCTTTAGCATGTCTATATTATACTTTTTTACTTATTTTTTTTACTACTGCTTTTCTTTTTCTAACATTTAATCATTGATTAGTGGTGCTAATTTATCATTATTGTTTCGTGAAACCAAAGAAAAGAAATATTTATATTTATAAAATTAAGAAAAATAAATTTAAAAAAAAATCTTAATTATTTAAAAATAGAGAAAGACCATTTGTGTAACAGAAAAAAAAACAAGAGTATGACGGTTTTGAAAAAAAATTCTTAAATCATCGGTATACTTTAACATCTTACCTACAGATACGCAAGAGTATCGTGTTGTGAAGAAAAGAATCACAAACATCCTCAGTATTTTACTTCCATAGAGCAATACAGCATTCGATAAAAAATATTCAAACATGAAAAGCGATGTATGATAATCTAACAATAAAATGATATATTTGAAATACATCGGAAAGCAATTTATTGAATAATACAAAAAATAACTACTAAGGATTGACCAGAAGTTCTAAGTTCGGTGTTTAAAGGACCTTGTCGGATAAGGTAACCTATTCAGAAATGAAAAATTAAATATACCATGTTGTAGAGCTTTTTTGAGGCACGTCGAATGATATATAGTAAATCCTGTTTTCTTAAGGCTTTGAAAGAACTAGAGTCAATTTACAGATAGCTGACTACACACCCACACCCTACTATATATCATTCGACACGCCTAAAAAAAACTCTACAACATGGTATATTTGAGTTTTCATTTCTGAATAGGTTACCTTATCCGACAAGGTCCTTTAAATACCGAACTTAGAACTTTTGGTCAACCCTAAGTACATATACGAATAGCTTCATTGCTAGTCTGTCTCTAAATAAATCAAAAAAACAAAAAAAAGAATTTGAATTACGTTGTAGAATCAGTGGAAACAAAAAATGTTTCTTGTTGAACAACAGTAGCCATAGCTGCTTCATATGCTTCATCGAGATCAGAATGAAAGAGAGGTCGATTAATATCAAGAATAGGAACAAGAATACTATCTGCATCGTTTTCACCATGATCAAGATTGATATATACGTTTGCTACTGAAAAAACTGTATGACCATGATCAGATGATCCAAAGCCAGCCGAAATAAGAGCACGTTTCATCCAAGGATTTGATAAGCCAACAAAATGCCAATTAATAGTTTTATCTGCGTAACGATCTAATTGTCGACGAACATCAACAAGATTTTCCAGACCAGTTATATCTAAATGAGCAACACCAGTAAAATCTAAAATTAGAGCATGTAAACGTGGACGTTGATCATCTTTTTGTAGATCTTGTTCTGGATGACGACTAGTCTTTAAATTCCATGGTTGTTCACCTAATGAACCATGTGGATTGCTTTTGCCTGGTTTTGTTTCTCGAAAAACATGTTCAACCAATTGTTCCATATAATAATTAGCATTTGGATATAGAAAACTTTCATTTAATCGATAGATAAATATACCATTACCGGGTGATATTGGAATAATCGTCGGATTCGAACCATCAGAATGATCGAGTGGCATATAGATATTTCGAGTTGTTACATGAACATAACTATCATGTGTTAATTTAACTTGTTGAATTTGAACTCGGCCAACAAATTCACCATGAGCTTTTGCAATACGAAACAGTAATAGTGAACCCGAAGTAACAATCGTAATATAGATACCGGTTTCAATAGTAGAAAATACTGTAGCAATAACTCCTATCCAAAAGATAAAAAACTCAACAGGATTAGCTCGCCAGAAACGTTTTAAAGTTTGTGGTCCAACAATCAAATCACCAACACCATGAATAATAACAGCAGCTAGACAAGCTTTTGAAATCCAATAGAAAACTGATGTTAAAGTATAAATACCCAGAATAATCAATAGACCACTAATCAAACCAGCCAAAGGTGTTCGTACGCCTGCTTTAGATTTGATGGCTGTTCGTGAAAATCCACCTGTTGCAGGATAACCACCAAAAAAAGGTCCAAAAATATTTGTTACACCAATGGCAATCAATTCTTGATTAGAATCAATAACATAATTATTAATCCGACCGAATGATTTAGCAATAGCAATATGTTCAATAAGAAGAACAATAACTGTCGAAGGTAGATGAGGTGCAATAGCGCCTAATAATGTTCGATCGATATATGGTACACCTAAATTTTGAAAGCCACGTGGAACTTTACCGAGTATAGAAGTACGCGGATGATCAGGATCATGACGATTGATTAACCATGAAATGAAAAGAAAAAGAACAATCACAAATACAATACGAAGTGTATTGATAAAGAAGAAGACTTTTGCTAGTGTTGGAAAACGTCGACTAGCACGAATACAAGTAAAACGAATAAGATAAAGTAAAACGAGTGATATTAAACCAAGTGCAGCATTTAAATTACAATGTTTTATTTGTTTCCAAAATTGACCAAAAACTAAATAAGTTGATTCACGTGTATTCAAATGTTTATTATTACCCATCATAACTGGTATTTGTCCCATGGCAATATTCAATGCAGATCCAGTCATAAATGCTGCTAAGGCAGGTAGAGGAATGAAATCAACTATAAAACCGAGACGAAACATGCCAAGAAAAAAAATAATACAACCAGACATAAGAGATAAAGCCGATGCAATTGTATAGGATTCATATTTTGGATAATCTCTACGTACAGCATCGACTACACTACCTGTCATTACTGACATGACTGCCACAGGTCCAATACTAATATCCTGCAAATAATGAAGATGATAACGTTAATAATAAAAAAAAAAACTTGAAGTCAATCGTTTTTTTTTTCGTGCATCATAATTATATGTACCTTGCTAGTAGCAAAAAACCAATAAATCATTACGCCGACAAATGAACTATATAATCCAAATTGTGGTGCCAATTTAGCTAATCCAGCATAGGCCATACCTTGTGGAATAACAATAGCACCAACTGTTAAACCGGCTATAAGGTCTCCCCAAAACCATGTTAAATTGTATCGATAGATCCAATCGAGAAATGGCAGATATGATAGAAAATAATCCTTTATTGTTGGTTTGGGGCCATGGATCTTCTTTTTAAACCAATCTTTGACTGTCGGATATGGTTCATGATATTCATGATGAGTAACAATTTTCATCCGATTCGTTGATGATGATATTGACACGGTCGGTAGTGAAGTCAGTGGTAATTCATTTTTGTTATGTTCTGCCATAATTTACGTACACAATAAGGTTCGATTGCGCGAATATATCGAACTAATATGTTCTACCTGAAAAATATCTCCCTCAAAAAAATTATAGATTACGGAAACTGCAAAAGATCTATGGATACAAGTGTTTTTTTTACGTAGTCGGTGTGTTAGAATTAATTGATACTTCAACCTTTGACACTACATAATTTTATATAAGATCAGTCTATCTTGGGTAAAACGATAACGAAATCCAATTCAAGACTTATGACAAATGACGTCTCATTTATGCTAACAAAAATTTATGAATACTTGTTAGTTCGACATTAGAATTCTATCTAAAAATTCTAATCTTGGAAAAAATATCTTTAAAAACATTGACTTTTTTTTCTAGATGCTTTCGCTCAAATATCGTCTTCATTGTTAAATTTTAGAAAATATTTTCTCTGATTAAAAAAAAGTTTGGATAGAATTTAGACGCTGAAATAATCACAGATTACGTATATTCGTAGGTTTTTGTTTAGAACAAACCAAATTTAGTGTTCAAGAGTATAGCTCGTCGAATTCTATCTGTTGGGATTATCAGAATGAAATTTTCTTTAAAATCTCCTTCGTTTTCATTAAAAAACAGCAATATTAAATACTTCTTTCAACTTCTACAAAACAATAAGTTAAACAATTTAATACAAGTGCCGGTACAGAATTCGAAAGCAAAAACAAAAATGAGCTCGATGAGTTTATCAGAAGGCTTGCACGTACATACCTCGATCTTTTGTCTAATTAAATTTTCAATAAAGTCTTTTGTATAAGTTTGTATGTCAAGTTGAAATATAAAAGGTTGCCTTCGATAAAAAGTGTTTTATTTGAATCTTTTTTTCCTTGATAGTAAAGAGTTATAGAGCAGATGTGTGGAAATATTCAATTGAATTTCTGACAACAGAAGAGCAGCACAAGTGATAATTAAACTTATCGGCACGCATTATAAAACGAGAAATAAAGAGGAAAAGATCAATAGTACAGAACTAATGTGAAGTATTATGTTACTTTACACACTAAAACGTGCTTGTCGATACAAGAAATTACGTTGTAAAAGGTCAAAAACAGGCATTTAATAATAAAAAATGTGTGTTTAATTAATCATACGATTAAGAAGATAAGTCAGTGTTTTTCAGGGATAATATTTTCTTGTCCTAATATTGAATAATAGAAATATGGAAACGACTTACTAGCTTTTATTTGTTTTTAAAAGATCTTTTACAGGATAATAGAATGGTCAAGATATCTACCGAATTTCAGCTTTTCGATTAGATGTGTGCTTCGGAACAATTAGCTTTCAATAGTGGTTTATTCACAATGAAATTAATTAAACCAACACTCTTCATTGATTCAACAACATAACTTCAAATCTCAAATATACTATTGTTTAATAAGCAAGGAAATCTTTAGTTACAATAAAATTATATTTTTATTACCGAGAAGTAATTGAACCTGTTGAGTTTTTGAAACATGATGAATTAAAAGAATCAATTGATAAATTTATCATATTGTAGTGCGAAAGCTGCAGTTACTAGAAAATTTAATAACGCAGTTTGTACGATACAATAAGAACTTGGTTGAGAAGAATAAGACAACAATAAAAGTAACAACAAGTATTATATCACGCTCACTAATAGTCTTTTTGACGTTGCGACTATGAAATTATATATTTATCAGATCAATTATTATAAACATGAATAAGAAACGAGACTTTTCCTATATTTTTAAACATTTACATATGGATTTATGTCATATTTGAGCATTAACTTATTCATATCATCTCATAGATTTGCTCAAATTTTTCATAGTTTATAATGATAAGGAAAATTTTAAGTATTTTAACTTTGTCTATGATCTTTTTAACTGACAGTCACATTGAATAAAACATACTAAAAAGTACTAATTATACATGCTAGTAATTCATAGTTTGTAGAAATTTTCGATGACTGTAAAATATGCTAAGTACCACTGTCTTCACATTCGAAAATGATAGACAATAAATTCTAGTTTACGATATACTCTATGTTTTTCAAGATTACTTAGGCTATATAAAAACAACCTTGCTTCCTCATTCATTCACATTGCAAGAGTTATCTATCCAATAAGCGTTTCATAGGTAATCGACTGAATCTGACGTGAAGTCATTCTAGTCCATCGGAATATTTATTAAAAATTTTATTCTCATGAACCTAGGTTTTTTTCTACATAAACTTTAATAATGATTATTCTTGTGAAATTTGTTTGTTTATATAATTAAGAATATATTATGACGCTTTAGTTTTGATATATCGTCTTTTTTCTTTTTTTTTGTTTGAAAATATCATATTGTCACAAAACAGTTCTGTGTAAAGTAAAAACAACAATGATATAACAATAAGAAGAAACAAGAAAGAGAGAGAACTTTTAAAATAGAAATAAAAGTTTGAACAACTAGAAACTACAGGATTCAATCATTATATCGAAACAAGTTTCAATGTTCGTACTTTTTGTCATTCCACCAAAATGAAATAGAAAAGAAAATCTCTGTCTCTTATTGAACTAACACACACACACACACATACACATACAAATACGACATAAATAAAACAAATGAATATACCGAGAAATATTTTAATAAAGCTTTATCCTAGAATAGAAGTGTACCCATACCACCGAGTTCATTCTGTTCTTTGACAAATATTTCAAAATATTGATAAATTATCGTAACAGCCAATAGAATACCAGTACCTGAACCAATTGCACCAAGTAAATCAGCTAATACCGATAATGCACCAATACATAAACCACCAAAAGCAGCTGCTGTTGGAATATATCGATTAAGTTCATGAATCATAGATTTTTCACGATGACCATGCATAACCCTAAATACAAAAAACAAAAACATATCTTTTAATTATAAAATTTAATTTCATGTTTTGTTTTTTCTTACATTTGTTGTTCTTTTAATTGTTTAGCAACATCTTTTGCACTTGAACCAGATATATCAATCCATGTTTTAGAAAAAAATGCACATGAACCAAGCATAAAAACAATATAAAGTATAGCATGTATAGGATCAATTAACATTGATTGAAATGATTCTGGTGGTGAAAAATAATAACATAAACCACCAATTGGATATGAACGTTGTGGTCCATTATCTGCCCATACACCTAATAAATTAATAAAAAAATTTCCAGAAAATTTTGTTGATAACATTTGTGATATAACATATAAATTTGAAACAAGTGCTGATTGTAAAATAATTGGAATATTTGATGTATAAAATAATTTTATTGGATATGATGATGATTGACCACGATAACGTGCAGATTTTATTGGTAAATCAACACGAAAACCCTAAAAGAAATTTTATATTATTAATCGAACAAATGTTTTTTTTTTAATCATACTTGAAAATAAATAACAATTGCAAAAACTAATACAGTTGCAAGTAAATTCATTAAATTAGGTAAATTTTGTCGATAAAATGCTTCACGTAAAGCTCGAACTTTATCATGTCGTGTTGCTAATAAATGAAATAAAGCAATAATACCACCTTCAAATTCAGTACCACGTCCAGTATTTATTGTTGCTGGACTAAATGCTTTCCATACAATTGTTTCACATATATTTGTTGCAATAAATAATGATATACCAGAACCAAGACCATAACCTTTTTGAAGTAATTCATCAAGTAATAATACAATAAGACCAGCAACAAATAATTGAATTATTATTAAAAGACAAACTCCAGCACCAATTTCTGATGGAATACCATACCTATTTCGAAGAAAACAAAACAAATACATACATTCCAATTTGACTAATGTATTCTATTAGAAAAAAAATTTGATTTCTAACATTAAAAAAAAGGCTGAAGTTTTCTTTTCATATCTTTGATAAACTTACATGCCAGTCATAACATAAACAATAGCTTGTCCAATAGTAATAATCATACCAAAAAGTTTTTGTGCTCCATTAAATAGAGCACGATCTTTTGGTGTATCACCAACTTCAATAATTTTTGCACCGGCTAATAATTGCATTATAAGACCAGATGTAACAATTGGTGATATACCTAATTCCATTAATGTACCACGATTTGATGCAAGAATAACTCGAATCCTAGATGTAATAAATAAAAAAAACGTTCGAGAATAGTGTTTTAAAATATACATACCAATAGAATGGATCAGCTGAATCTGATGACATTATACCAAATAATGGTATTTGACAACATACCAAAAATATAAATAATGTTATAGCTGTCCATAAAACTTTTTCACGAAATTGAATTTTACGATCAGGTTTTTGAATTTCTGGTATAAGTTGACAGAATGGTTTAACAAATTCAAGAAATTTGATACCCATTTTTGATTAAATTTCAAGTGAATTCAAAAATAAGAAAAGACAAGTGTCGATCGTTCGTTTTATTCTATATAAACATATGGGTTTGCGTCTTCCAATAAATACCATACAAAGACCAATGCAACGTTGCAATAACATAGGAAACGTCAATGGCTCTTGTCAACGTCACAATGCATCAATGTGTTCTGAATAAAATATCAGAGGATAGAGGTCGTACATTGATATAGAAAAACTTCTAAGCTGTGTTTTGTCTTAGTAAGAGAAAAAAGAATCGTTTATAATATTCTATAAAAAAAGAACATATGGAAATGATGTCATGAATTCATCGATAATGTTGAATGTAGTGTTTTGTACGTGTGCGATTTTTCGTAATTGGATTTGGATAGTAGATAATCTACATTCGGCAAATACTTTCATAGTCACAGTATGGTTTTTAAACTTTTATTTTATATGAAAAAGTATACTATTTAGTTTCTTCGATAAACAACAATAAAAAGAAGAGATTATCCTATAACAAAGTACATGAATGCTTTTTTTCATTACGATAATAGATGGTCTTTCCTTTTTCATAACTCATCTTTCTGTCTTTACTTCTATGATCTGTTCTCAAGTACAATAAACTACTCCGGTTTTTACTCTCGTGCTTTTATGTAAATTAGTAGTTACAAAAAAAAATCTATTCTTTTTCTATTCGAAGTCTTTACAAAGGAATTTCGATGTTATTCGAGTTGGAGCGTAGGAGTCAATGACTCAGGAAGTCGATTAGAAAATTTTTTCGTAAAGATTTTTGTGAAAATCGATAAGCAAAAAATACAATATAATGGTGGCACTCTATTGGAGAAGAATGAATTTTTTCGAGAGTCAAGATTCACAATTCTGCAACCAGAGCATTTCGGAGACTTTTCATTGATGAAATAAAATTAAAAATGCATATTCTCTCATACACTTCGAAACTATCAATTTACAATATGATTCAATAATAATGATAAGAAAACGCCCTCAACGATCAAGTTGATTAGTATTCACAATAAATTACTTAACACAAAACAATTACCTTTCCGCTAAGTATCAAGAAAACAAGATAGATATATAAATAAATCATTACCAATTTTTCATCGATGCAGTTTGATACCAATTCTTTCAATATTTCAGCTTCTCATCATTGTTCATCAATGTCAAGTAACCAGTCATTCTCATCGGTTTTTCAATCGATTGAAAACTCTGATCTACCAGAATCAATATCAATATCATATTCGTTCGAAACATATGTCAATCCGTCATCAAATTATTATGCTTAATGAAATTTTTCAAGGATTATATCAAGATCGTATAAAATCTATTCATTTATCTGTTAAATATCATAATTATATTTCAACAACCACATATATAGAACAAGACTAACAATATCTTGTGTATTATTCTACCTGAAATTCATAGAACTCTTGAAATTTCTAATACCAACGTTATTTAAACTAATGAACATTCAGTAGTAAAGCAATTGAACAATAGTTTAATAACAAAGGTATTTTTGATGTTGTTCTATAATATTAAACGTCTAGATCAAATTCAGATTATGATTTAAATCGACGATGAGTGTGGGTGTTGATTTTATCATGCCCTGTGCCTACACCCGAGAACCTCAAACTCGGCCGCATGATCTTTAAATCATCCTGAGTCGAACGATGATGTTAGATTAAGTGATTCAAAGTGACGACAAAAAAATTTTCGAAATATCTGCTCTATACACCGTTGTGTGCAACATGGCGACGAAACACTGGAATTTAGAAAATGTTGTTTTCGTCACAGTAGATCATTTTAAAACTAAAAGTAACATCACCTTGTGACTGAGTACAGTTGATTAACTATATCTTGATCTATTTTGGGATGATTAAAAATCACTTGGCTGATCTCAAGACTTTCAGAAAAATATTTATAAATCCTCGATAAAACACGCTATCGAGTTCGATTTTGTGTAGATCGACACAGAACAATATTCTCTATTGAATGGTTATTTTAAAAAAGCCAAGAAAAACTGTTGTTTTATCATTTTCAAAATGCCTAGTGTGAACTCACATTAACCAATCAAAGCTGATGTAGTTTGCCTTCCCCTAGCGCCTTCATTCAAATGTTTAAAACCTCATGCCACTAAATACTTGAGTTTCTAAATTATTCAAGGTACACTAACCATCTACTAGCATCATTTATATCAAAAAAAAAAACGAAGCACACTGGTTCAACTTTTCATCACACCGAAAAAGTGTTAGATTAGAGCCATATAAAAACGACCATATTTATGTTACAAAAATAATCAAAGTCATCCAGTTGAGTGTTTTCTTTTAACCATTTGTCTGTGATTAATGGTGGATCACAAAGATTGATATTACCATAGTGACGAATCACTATGTTCGATAATGTAGCTGTTCTGCAATCGAAAAGTCGCGCCAGATCTTTGATAATTTCACGACAAAATGCCAATTGCTCTAGCTGAGTAAATGAGCGCCAAAAAGAATAGATTTGGAGTGATAATTGTGGTTCGGATGGATGCAAATAACTATTAATTATATTTAGATAAACGATCTGAGGCCATTGTCGATCAAAAAGTAAGACGAGAGTCGAAACCAGCAAGCTCATTGAACGTAAACATGGTAGAGTATGAAGTATTTGTATAAATTCATTGCTCGGTGTCCACATTCCTGACGGCATCATATTGAATCTGGTGATGCGTGATATATCGAGACCAGTGGCAATATATTCGAGTAAAATGTCAGGATTCTCTTCAACGATCAACGATCGAACATGAGTGAAACGATTCAAGAGTACTTTTATCATCACCGGTTGCGAATCAATCCAGAGATAGTTGACATATGGAAATGTTGTAGGCTCTAATCCAGTTGATTCTGTTACTAGTGTTTTCTTCTTCTGCGAATATTCATACCATCTGTTAGCGCAGTAAGGGTTCGTATAGAGGTACGCATTGAAATCATCAATCCATCGGTCATAGGTAATGTACCATTTTTTTTCTTCGAGCCAGAATCGAGTACGAAACGAATCAATGTTGATTTCTTCGAAGCTAATCATTTGAAAGATGAATTTAAATACAACAATTCGATTTAGGACTGGTATCCATACATTACCATCGGTCATATCAGTTTGAACGTTACTAATATGTAGAGTCAGATGAGTGAGACAAGCCATCGGCAAGAGTAAATATCTGATTTCGTTCATTGTTGTATGAGAAGTATGGATTGTTAGTCGTCTTAAATGTATAGGTGGTACGTACAGCATATGATTGAGGAAAGGTTCACAAGCATTTACTTCGCATTGAAGAAGCATTGGTGCGACTGCGAACAGATGATTCAAGTCAATAAGAACACCTGTAAGAATTAAATATTCGACTGTGGATAATTGCATTGAAGGAGACGGTGAAATGATGATTGTGTCTGCATGACAATATAATGTATGAATAGAGACATGTTTGAGCGATTGAACAGTAAATAGAATATCGTGGAAAATGAGCGATATCAACGGTAAAGTCGATTCTTCTGTATCATGAACAGAAGCAATGGATAGTGATCTTAGGGAAACGAACGATGGTAGTCGAGTTCTAATCGAGTTCCATACACATGAATCGATATCAGCGAGACTGATCGAACGCAACCTTGGAAGAGTATCATCGAT